CATACAAAAGAGAAAAAAGCACAGCTTCTTCTCTCGCAAATCTCTCCTCCTCTGCCTCCACCGCTGTCGGATACAGCTCCAGAATCGCGGAAGAGAAGCTTCAATGCCTTCACAGAAGGGCTCATTGCCTGAGAATCTTGACGACGGCGATGACACCGAGTATCATCACCTGAACCACGGTAAGGAATCTCGAAACGAAGACGAGGTAGAGAGAGCTGAAGATGAGGAGACGGAGCAGCAAGGGCAGCAGCTGAAAGAGGAGCAACTAGAAGAAGGACAAGATAAGGAACAGAAACTGGTAACGCAATTGGCCGATGACAAGGACGACGACGACGACGACGACGGGGATGGTAACGTTACCCGTATTTCTACATATGTTGTTTATGCGTGTGTAGATGATTATAAAACGTATATTACTGTTCATTTTGATGCTTCCTTCGCGATTTCTTCTCCTTTTCAGATTCTGATGAAAGCGAATCCTCTCGCTCGGAAGAGAAACCAGAGTACGTGCTCAATCTCTCCTCAATTTCTTATTTCTTTCTCTTTCTCAGTTTAGAAATTTCATATGCTGTTTATAGAAGTATAATTGGGGTCGACTCTGCTTATGAAGCTGAGTTTGTTTTAATTTTAGATGACCTGCATTTGCTTTTGTGTTTTGAGCTGTAAATGGGTTTGGAGAAAGAGGGGATTGTGTTTTAGTGCTTGGCAATTATATTATTAATTCTGTGACATTGGCTGAGTTTGGCTTCTGGGTTGCACGATAATGACTCTAGATTGTAACTTGCATTTCACCATCCGTACCCTGTTATGACTCTGATGATAAACTTTAAAGTAGCAAATTAATTCTTACTGACGGTGGGGCCTTATGTTCATGGACGAAACGCTTCACATCCTTGCTACTTGTTCAAAACATTGCCACTATAAGTGTTAGATTAACATCCCTGTCTATCTTTAGAGCATGATGTCCCTCCACTTCTCAAAATGGTCATGATTAGTTTTACTAGAATGTCAAATTCTTTCTTTTGCTAATTTTGTTACTGCCTTCGCTTTTAGAATCTAATAACAGGATGCTAGCATTTGCATTCATTTAGAAGAATCATATTCCTGTCTAACAATGCTGGTAAATGTGTTGTGGTGCACATCTGTTACACTTTCATTGAACCCTAGAATCTCATCTAGATGATACATGTCAGAAGCCCTCATTGTTGTTGTCTCAGAGTCTCAGGACTGTTTTTTCATCTCAAGTTTTCTCATTTCATATAAAATCCTGATTTGATTCAGTACTGTTGTATACTGCTATTGGATTAAGTTGTAATGAGCAAACTGCTAATTTTGGGTGTTTTGGCATCATGCTTTCAACTCAACCGTTCAATAATTGCCAAAGGGAAAACAAGTATCACCTTCTCGTTAGTTCATAATTGTTATTACTTTTGGAATAAATGTTGGATAAAAAATTCACCTTTTCTCTGGATTGTTAGGCTCAGATTGATGGGGAGTGCTGATACCTTCTTTTGGATGTGCAATTATTACTCAATTGGTTATCCTTACATATTTGCATGACTTTAACTAGTTTGTGCCTTGGCAAGTTTGCAATGAGAAGTTCATCTCTATAGTTATTTGATTGTTGGAGGTAGTATACTTTTGGCTGCATAAAGTTGGGTAGGAAACAAACAAATATTCACCCCAAACTGATACAGGTGAACAAGTAGAGTATGCTAGGGCACTTGAGGGAACCATGTCGAAGGAACTTGGCAAAATGACCCTGTAACCCTGTAACCCTGTAACTTTGGGAGAAGGGTTGCTTTTTTATTTGGTTAACATTTCCATATGAAACTGTTGAATATTCTTCAGTTCATCATAAGTTTTGACTATCTTTATCATGCAATCAGACTAGTAATAACTTGGACAGCAAAACCAACAGAACTAAGTCAAACATCTACCCTATAACTTTAACCATGAGAAAGATTGACCATAATGATCAGCATCACTCTCCCTTTTTGAAACTTTGGGCTTCAAAAATATAGGAGGTCTAGGAGATGAATTTCTTCTTCTAAAAAACCATATTTGGATAAATGAAACTTGTGTCATTTTTTTCTTGTTCTTTTTTATTTTATTTTATCTTTGATATATGCAATCACTGTAAATCTTTTTTTTTTTTTTCAGTCATCATGTAATGACTGTAAATCTAATCATTCTGATTTCCCAAGTCTTCTTGGGCCAAAAAAAAAAAAAAAAGAAGAGACTTCCCAAGTCTTTGGCCAGGCAATTTAATTTGCTTAAATACTTTATGACTGCTGATAATAGGCAAATACATGCTGGTTATGGTCCATTTTGGTGGCTTTGTGCATTTTTAGTCCAAGAATTGGAGTTTGTTTTATAAGGAACTCCTGTCTATGAAGCTTTTGTCACAAGGTTTATTTTTACATTTCTCTGCCCCCTTGCAGATTTGTCTTGGTAGAACTGCCAGAAATTCGTAAAGATGTACAATGTCCAATTTGTTTAGGTAATATATATATATATATATATTTTTTGGCAATATTGCAGTTTTACTCTCTCTGTGTGCACATCACTTTGTTAAGTAAGAATGCTTTCTGATGTTCATTAGGAAGTAAATTTGTTCAATGCTGAGTGGGAATCAAACAATCACCTTTTGCTAGTTTGTCTTTGGGAAATTACAAACCACTAAGTTGATGAAGCCAGGACCAAGTATGTCAGTGTACTTAATACACATGCTACATGGTCAAATCATGCTAATGTTTACCTACCATATTACTTATGCAGAACTTAAAAGTTTCTTCTGGTAGATGTTTTATATATATGCATGGTTTGTAATACTCAGGATACATACTGGTGCAGGGGTGTCTTTATGAGCTTTATTTTTGTTCAACATTTACTCTATTGTATCAGCTTCATGGAAGGTTTTGATTTTCTTTTCTGGATGCCACCAGTTATGCAATGACTTATGGCTCAACCGATTGCTGAAAGGATCTCTGACACTGATTATCATGCCTTTCCTTGTATACAGGAATAATAAAGAAAACACGAACTGTTATGGAGTGCCTGCATCGTTTTTGCAGGGAGTGCATTGACAAGTCAATGAGACTGGGGTATGTCTTAATTAATGCATGTTCTTCTTTTCACCTTTCTTTTCTGTGAATTTTTTGAATGATAAGAATTATGATTCAACTACTTCTACACAAATTAAAATTTTCCCTAATAACGACTGCAGAAACAATGAGTGTCCTGCGTGCCGTACACATTGTGCTAGTCGACGTTCTTTAAGAGATGATCCAAACTACGATGCCCTAATTGCAGCTTTGTATCCAGACATTGATAAATATGAGGAGGAGGTAAAACTTTGTTTGTTATTTGATTTAGCCATTTTGTTATTCAAAAGTATTGGTGACAATTTTACACATCAAGCAATGGGGAACTTATTTTGTCTCAGGAGCTGGCATTCCATGAAGAGGAAAGGACCCGAAATAAAAAGGTCAGATGCACTGATATATGTCCTAGGGATGCATTTTGCCTTATACTGCTCTGCCATCCTTGTCAATCAATCATACCAAATTTACAATCAAAAGTTATGGTAGATGGTTATGGAAATATGCATTCAAAACCACCTTTTCCTCCATGCTTAGATGAAACACACTTATGACAAATTTCCAAAATCAGGAAGGCTATAAATTTATATTAGATTGATCTTGCCCTCTTCCGTCTGGGAACTTATAACATTGTTGTAAGAATAATGAGAAATTTACAATGGGAAGTTCAGCTGCAAAGTGCAAAACTAGAGCTGTTATTAGATATTGGATATGTGTAGAGGGTTTTGTGGTCCTTGCTAGGGACTTTTTGTGCGGTTAGACTGCTATCTTTAAAAGGAAATCAATAGACATCCAAAATTCAATCTTTTTACATGGGGTGCCTCAATGTATTTGTTACATAAATTATGCTATACATGTTTCTACTTGTTCTAAATTTGCATAATGCACTGTATAGATTCAGGCATCAATTGCCCAAATATTTCAACGACAATCCGAAGCCCTTGTTAAGCGACGCGGTAAAGACAGCACTGGGTGTTTTATGACAAGATCACAACGCAACCACCGGAGTGCTCATTTAAGGAGACGGAATTCTCGAGGTACTGATCATCAAGGATTTGAAGACAATGAGGATGAAAATGATAATAATGAGGAAAAAGATTCATCTTCCTCTGAAGAGCAGGGTGCAGAAGTCAGGCAGAGAAGGCGCAAAAGACGGCCAGGAACTCGGTCATCCCACCCTGCATCAGTACTGAACTTAGATGGTGGCTGTGCTGAAAATGATGTAGAAATGTCCAGAGAGAGTAGAGGAATTTCACCTGGACTTGTGTGGAATCCAGAAATGCTTGCTTGGGGCGGAGGTGGTGCTCGAAGTCACACACGTCATGGAAATTCTAGTGCTGGCAGTAGCAAGAATCAACGAAGTGCTCGTTTGAATAGGCTGGTAGAGTATCTCAGGACCTTGGAGGATGGAAGATTGGAGGAAAACAATGATGAGGTACGATAGGGTGCTGTTCCACTCTTTCTTGATGGGTCACTAGGTCAATCATGAATTCATCTAGTTTTGGTTTTCAGAAAAGAGTTTATCTATACCCCCCCCCCCCCCTCCTCCTTTTTCCTCCCCCCAACACTTTTCCTTTGTCTTTCTGCATTTAGGTTCAAATTTTCTGTAAGTAAAGCATCTTCATTACTGGCAGGTGAATTTTCATCTCAAGCTTATTTCTTTGGACAAACAAAATCCGCTGATGAGGTTGCAGCAGCCATATCTTTGTTCTAGGCCAAATCTGTCAGTTAAGCAGCTATGTGAAGTAAGATTTCTTTCCCTCTACCTGAACAAACTCCCATCCTGCAGACCAAATCCAGCCCCAATTGCCTTCTCTTCCTCTTTTCTTAATCACTTTGTGAATGTGGACATTCCCACTACAATTGCTGGCATGTGCTCATGTAGTGGGCAAAAAACGATACCATCACTAGAAACATAGTAGCTGTCAAAACTGGGAATATCTTAGTCATGGTGCTAGCCAGGCCTGCCTGCCTTCCTGCAATAAGTGGCAAGTTTTTACCTAGGGTGTTTTTTATTTTTTTTTTTGTCAACCAAGTTTATCCCCATGCCCAGGTTGACTCCTCCAAGTTAAACCCAGTTGATATTGTTGGTGGTGTAGAACTATGTTTTACATGCATATTTTTTTATGAGGTATTTGATGGTCTGGGCCTGATTAAAATTGGTTGTAACCTGAACCCGTTCAGTTTTTGACCCGTTGACTTTTCTGAATCAGCTTCTTCTTTTACTTTCTTTGAAATTCTTCTCTAAAATTGAATATAATTGTAGTATATTCGTTGTACACAGTATGTTGCTCTTCAGACACCCCTGCGAGCTGCAGATGTTGAAATATTATTGGCAAAAGGGGAAGATATTGCTGATGACCATCCATCCGATCCCCCTCCAACATCAGAGGATAAATCAGAGGATAAACTACAAATTTTGGATGATCAAGAAACTCTGGCTGGGATTAGTATGAATTGCGCCAAGTCTAGAGGTCATTTGGTGAGTTTATATTTGTTTATATCATGGATGCCTCAATGCATACTGTGCGTAAACCCACAATCACAATCATTACTGAACTAAAATTCTGCCATGTTTTCTGTGCATTGCTCTGTATAATGTCCACAGTTGCCTGCATAAATGTGAAACTAAGTATGTTCCCACTCTGAAGAATCCCGATTGTTTGTTTTAATAACTCATGTAGGTACTAGCATACCGGCAAAGGCAGACTGGCTAGCAAATTTATGCCGAAAGACCATTGCCCTACTACAGGGAAGAAAAAGAAGAAGAAACTCACTGATTTATTGCAACTTGTACGTAGATACACAGAATAAGTATCTTTTTTGTCTCATTGAAGCAATAATTAATACAAAAAAGGTGTTATGCACTTCGGATTACATCGATGCATAATACTTATCATTAGATGGGGTGAGTTGCCTCTCATCCAATGGCTCATGTTTTTACAATTCAGTGCAATCTAGACTATAAAACAAGGAGCTCTAATTAGTATCTATATTGGTCTGATTTTCCTACTAGATGAAAATCCATAACATCAGGAGTTGGTTAGATTATCCTTTTCTTGTACTTTTTTTACATATATTTTTTATTTATTTTTGTATACTTTTTTTTATAATGTTCTGCTACAAAGCAAATAAAAGGTCTGGAATTTTTTTATTTTATTTTTTGGTAAAGGGTCTGGAATTTTTTTGAGGTAGAAGAAACTTGATTTCATCTCCGTTTTTTCTTTGATATTTTTTTTTTGTTCATCTTAATTCTGTTTCTGTCATTCATTGTCATCCACAGAAAACTTTTTGAAAAAATTGGAGGCAGTTGGTGTGAATATAAAAAAATACAAAACAAAATTTCGTGGTCAAATAGTTCAAGTTTTTTGAATTCATCACTTAGAGGCTATCTGCCTTTGGATGCAATTGGCAAGCTCTAATTGGGGATTTAGGGACCTTCCAACTTCCATGGTAAACCTGTTCACGTAAAATTCTCATTTTTCAAGAGTTGTTAGAATGAATGACACTCAAATAGAAAGAACTACTAAAAAGGGATCAGCAATTTTCGTTCAATTTCTAAGACTTTACATGATTGAATCTTATGTATCAGAATTAGTACAAACAGGTAGGTATTTGTCAAAAAGAATGGTTCTTGTTCTGAACTCTGAAACAAAATGGAGTGCATAAACTCCCTCAAAGAGTGAAAAGGAAAATGAAGTACATAGACTAATACAAAGAGGTTCAAGAGTTCTTGAACAGCCCTAACTACCCTGCCCATAACCAGATCGCCAATCATCTCATAAGAGTTGCAGGGCTGGAAGTTGCGAAGAGTGAACTGACCATTTTTCTCCTTTCTTTCCTTTTAAGAACACGTAGATTTGGTGACTTCGGCTTTGTAATTTCCTTGGAAGACCTAAAATATAAACCCAAATGTGAAGGGAAGTAGCATAAGAGAAAAAAAAAAAAATGAGAAAAAGGATTCAAGTTTTTTCTCTTACTTCAGTGGGCAAAAAGGATTATCAAATTTTGGGACAGGTCTTGCATGTGGAACCATTGTCCTTCTCAATTGCTTCAATGCCTTCTCTTCCTCTATCTGCCAATTGAAATCAACATATGATACATGTTATTTCCGAAGTTCACTACAAATTCAGTGACAATCTAAGTTCGGAGTCAAGGATATCTGTCTTTACATACCATCCTTGCAGCTTCACTCTCCTCTCTGTATCTCTTATACATCATCTCTTTCTCCTTGATCTGCATTTGAAGGAAAAATCATCATTGATTTTTAGTGAAAATGCTGCTCAAGATTCATTTCATAAGAGCAATGCTTAGCTATTTAATTTACCTTTTGATCGAATTCTGCTCTATCCACAGCACGGTGATCTGCCTGGAGGTTGAATTCCTGAACTTCAGTCAGAGGTTTGCGCACTTTCTCTGGAACAGGAATCGGGTCCCTGCAAAAGAGAACCATCCATGAAAAGGAAAAGTATCAATACAGGTCCCTAACACCTTTTCAAAAGACATCCGTGGAAGAATGAGGGTGCAACTTACTCTTTCAAGATCGGCTGTGCTTTGAACACCCTCATTTGAGCTTCTTCTTTCTCCTTCCTACGTCTCTCCTCCATCTCTCTCTGCATTTCTTCTTCGTGCCTAACCAAACTCAGCAGTTGGAAAGGTTCTGGTCTTGTGCCCTGCTTAGGCTCTGGTTTTGAAGGTATCTATATAAAAACAGCTCCAGTTTTAGCACTGATTTCATGATAAATACTTTCCACTAAAACTGAATTGAGAAAAAGAAACGAATTAATAGATTTCTGTACCAGAGGATAATCAGTTGTATATGGATAAGGGTTCGCCTTGGGGATCCTGGTTCTTTCTTCTTCCAATTGCTTCTGTGTTACTTCGATCACAAATTTCCTTTCCTTTTCAACTCCTCTTTCCTGAAGTCATTCACAGAACTATCAGTTTGAAACCATTTTTCCAGTTTCTAATTCTCTAACTTAACCAAGAAAATGAACTCAAACCAAACCTCAGTGTGGAGATGGAATGGATCTGGAGTTGTGTTCCTTGGAATTGGATCGTGGCGAGGTTCTGAGTTTATGGAAAGCTGTAAAAAAGATTGATGATATAAGTAAACTGAAACCACGATTGTTTAAATTTCCTATTGCTCGGACTGGTAGAGCGAGATAGATATAATTCCAGTTTCTACCTTGTCAAATAAATCAACTACTGCTGGTGGCGGCGGTAACCTCTCATTTGTTGCAAAATGGAATTCTTGGGGTATGGTAACCTGCTTCTTTTCATGACAAAACATCCCTAATTCTCCTTTGCTTTCAAATATCTATAGAAAGTCAGAACTAAAGTTAGTTTAAAGGAAAGGTTGTCTTCAATGCCCAGCAGTATAGAAATGAGGAGTTACCTTTTTATTCAAAGGCTTTGCCTTAAATTTAGGGGCCTTTTCAAGTTCTTCCTGCTCAAGTTCGATAGAACTTTTGACCTTTGGAGGACGAGCCCTCAATGATGTATGAAGTACAGGGGTTTTAGGTTCCGTTAGATGAGGTTTCCACTGGTTATTCTGTTACAAAACGAGAGAAGAAAGATGTAAGTGAACCGGGAGCCACTGCCAAAATTAGTAAAAAGTGTCAGCGATATATGGTTCTCCAAACCTGACGAGACACTTCTGTTGAGACTACTGAAGATGTTTCAGCATTCTGATGTGCTCTTGCCATTGTTTCAAAATGAAATTCCTGCATTATGAACAAACTCTTAGTCTCACTGAGGGATCTTTACTTGATCTTTCTTTTCTAAATCACCACCTATGTTTTACTATCCTTACCTGAAATTCTGGCGGCTTTGGTGCACTTCTTGGTACTGCAGGAAGTTTTGGAGCTTCCAGAATCTGTATAACACACAAGGATATTGAAAGAAACCTATAAATGGTATACAACAAATAAAAAGCCACCTCACTAGACTAAAATGGAAGTCCGAACTTGGAAGCCCCAAGTCATTGGTCACTGGAAAATACCTTTTTGTTCAATGGTCTTGCTTTGAACTTTGGAATTTTAGCCATCATCTCTTCCTCTAGCTCAGCAGTGCTCTTTACCCTAACTGATCTCACTCGCTGAGCTGTTTCGAATTCTGGCTCCTTAGGCCTTGTCAATGTGAGATTAGGCTTTCCCTGAATGTACATAGTAGCAGTAACATATCTTAAATGAGATTAAATGGTGGAATTTCCAAAAGAAGGATAAGGAAAAAATAAAAAATAAAAAGAGGCAGGAAATGTAGGGAAAAAAGAAACTGAAGTGGGGTGGGAAAATGATGTATTTCCATTCACGTACATATGAATTAGAGCTACTAGCTTGTGGGAGTGATAAGTCTCTTGTACTTGACTGGAACTTTTTCATCAATCCTGCCATCGAAACAAATGGTTCTGCCTTTTCCCGAACATAAACCTTCAAGTGAAAAAGCCAATTGTTGAAAATGGTTATTGTGAAGATTCAGAAAAACCAATGAGTAATTCTTTAATGACCAAATCATAAAGTGAAAAAATGAAAATGAATTAGTATATAAAACAAACCTTTCTTTCCAGTTTGTTAGATGTCTTGGCAATTGATGAGCACACACCACTAGCAAGACCCAGTTTTGACTTATGGGGCAGATTAAGTGGCTTTGGGTTCAGAATCTGAGATATGGAAGGGAGAGGGGAAAGAGCGGATGTTGTTTTAGGAAGAAGACATCAACAAAACAATGGCAAGCACAAAAATTCAGGGCAGTAGTATGACTAACCTGTCTTGATCTTCCTCCTTCTAGCTTCTGCCGCTTAATGGCTTGGTTTTCTTGTGCCAAACTTGGTGTTCCTACAGGCTTTTTGATGTTTGTTTCTCTACAAGTAGGATGACAACAAAATTGTTTAAAGTGCTATATAACCAAGGGAAAGTTCAATACTAAGCATTGTGGCAAGAAAATAACAAACCTTTTCCCGCTCGCCAGTTTGGTGGTAGTTTTGGCCTGTGATGATTGTAACTGATTCTTTGGCTTCAGGCCCGATCGATTCCTTACTAAACTAGCAATTGTATTAGCTGACTGGTGTTTCTTGTCGGTCACTTGCTCTTTTTTACAATTTACCAAAGGTTTAGGGGTACAAGCATCATTTCCTACTTGAACTGAAGAAGTGCCTTCTGCCGGTACACTATCATCAGAGAGGACTTCATTGCATACAGCCCCACCCTCTTGTTTCTCATCATTAGCTTTAGAAATCTGAAAATGCTTAAATTACTAGACTGGCAACAATGAAATCTCATATTCCAAAAGATGTTCTACATAAAATACGGAAATAAATGCTAAGGTAGCTATTATAGTTACCCCATTGAGCTGATTTTCATTGTCATCTTCCCTTGCCTCAGGAGGTGTAACTTTCTCTTCCTTTGGCTCAGGCAGGGGCTCCATTTGTGGCTTATCTACTGAGTTGCACTGAGTAGCTGCTGAATCAGATTCTGAGGTCTGCAACATTAACAAAGATAGTTGAACAAAATTAGTCTTAAGAAATTATTTTTCAAGTATTAAAATTCAATGTTCATAGAAGCAACATCGATACCTTCTGCGTTTCATCTGCGACTTCACTAAAATTACACAATGTCTCCACCTTAAAAGATCTACCTGTCTTGATCCTCGGCATAAAGGCTGCATAAATGACACAAAAAACATTAAAGTTCTAAAACCATGAACCGTAAAGGCTACAAGCAGACCTGCAGAACACTAAATCAAACACATTTTCCCCAAATTTCTCCTCAAGAACCGTGAACCTGTATATTCTTAATTCATTCGATAAATCTTTTTGATGCCTGTTTGGATGCCGAGAAAATGGGGGAAGACGAGAAAACTAAAGTTACTTTGTCAAACATACACTTAATTGGAGATAAATCCTTCCCTTTTCCCTCAGTCATTTCCAAACACCTAAAATCCCTAAAATCCTCCCTTATCTTACTAATCGGTGAAAATTTTTTCCAGAAGCAATTCCGCATGCATGTCCAAAAAATAAGCAGATCTATATTTACATTTGCCCAGTAAATCCTTCTCGTTTCCCTCAGTCATCTCCAAATACCTAAAATCCCTAAAATTTCAAAACCTAACGAGAAGCTAAAAGAGATTTCGAAGAAAAATAATATAAAATAATTAGCGGAAAATAAGTAAGTAATCAAGAAGCCCTAAATAATCCAACAAAATCAAGAATGACAAACCAACTGTAACGACTTTCCCGAGTTTCTCGCATTTGGTACAAAATGAATTACTGAATTAAGAAGGCAACGAATTCATTTCCGTAAAAAGAGAAAAGAGATAGATAGAAGAGGGAGAAGATAACATACGAGATGGCGCGTAGCTTAATGCGTTGTCGAACCAGAGTTCGGCCTCACGAGTATCTTCTTCGGATTCCCCCTTGATGAAATCGAAGAATCGCGGCGCTGAGAACTCGTATACCTCGTCGATCATGGTGATGCTTGCGGAGGATGATTCGTCAGCCGCCACCGTCATTAAATTGTGCTTGAAAGTTGCTTGTTACTCTTGTGGGGAGGAAATGAAACTTGGAAAGTCTCTAGTTTCTTGATTTGTTTCCAGGGAGAATAATAAGGCAAGGTATCTCTCTCTCCAACGGTCGAATTTTTTGAATTTTGGGGCGTGGTCTCCCAACGGACGGGTTAGACACCTCTGGTCTGCGTTGTGCCTTTGCAACGGCTATTTTTCATGCTCAGGTTGCGGATGCCTCTAGACGGCACCGTTTCGATAGGCTTTTTTGTCTTATTATTAAACGCATCGTTCAACTGACATTTAAATCTTCTCTTTTCCTTTACTGAAATGATATAAACTTTGGTTTATTTTATTTTATTTTATTTTATTT